ACTGTAATAGGACAACAATGAAATATTTAATAAAAAATAGGTAAGACACTGTCTAATCACCACACACATGCCAGTGCTTCTCACATACTTATTCCTCAACTAAAACTTCTCTAGGACAAATAAAATTTAGTAAAAGTGTAGGACAAATTCCAGGACAGCTCTCCACAATAGTGCTGAATCAATGGCCTCAGCCCCAGTAAAGAAAGTACTGGGTTGTTATAATCATTGCTTAAGCAAATATTTTGTTAGAACAGGTTAAAAAAATTAAAAAGCAGGAGAAAATTTTAAATACGAGGGAATTGGCTAAACTTAAAATTCCTAAAGAAAGGGGAAAATTTTGTAATATTGTATAAATGCAGAAGGAAATCCAAATTTCAAGCTCAAAAGCTAAAGTGAGCTTTGCAGGATCAGAATGTGTTTGGAGGGTCAGCAGTCTGTATTCTCTCTCCAGAGCCAGTATTCATTGATTTTTTTCATACTGGAATCTCCATCAGGTATATTTTGAAAGCCAATTTATTTTCTAGGAATTATGGAAATCCAAAATGGTGTATCACAATACTTGTGAAATAGTGCAATAGATTTTTTTCCATACAGCTTCTACAAAACATTTGCCAACCCTTACATTTGCACAATAACTTTACAAAGTACTTGTGCTTGTATTATCTCCTTACTTTTCATAAACACTTCTAAATGAGATATTACAAAAATACTCTTCCACTCTGCCATAAGAGTAAAAGAATTAAAATATTTTTCTGATCTCTTTTAATTGATGAGTCATGGAAGAAAGCCTCAGTTTAATGCTTCTTTTAATACATCTCTGAACTGGTTCATAACAGGCTAAACATCATGGTAGAGTTTAGGTGCCTGCTCTATAGAGAAAAAAGTTGGTTTCCTTAATAAAAACTCAGAACTGCATCACACACATTTTCAACTCAAATCTAAAACTGGATGTTTTCCTTTTTTTCTTTTGCCTATCTTTCAATGTATTGAAGATATTATTTAGATGGAAAAGGTCAAAGGAAAATTTTTTTCTTTATCTTTGAGAAGTTCTGGCTTTTACTTCTATTTGAGAAATACCTCATTTTTCTCTTCAGAGCTCTGGCATTGATTCTGGTAGGAAAGTCATATCCCCAATATTGTTGAATCAAAGATAAAGGAAAACTGTCCGAGTGCCAATAGTTGTCTGTATTCCACTAAAAACTCCATGAACCTGAAAATTCATGTGACTGAGTAGGAGGATTGTCTGGCCAAATGTTGCTTCCCAATTATAAACTAGAATGAGAGAGGCTACCTTCTCTCTGGAATAAGGTGGAAGAGTTGTAGTAAATCCAGTAGGGGCAGTTGATAGAAGTCCTTTTTCTCACCCATTGAAACAGAATAGGAGCTTTAATACTTAGTTTCCTTCAGAGGTTGAAGATCAGGGACTATTTTGAAGTGGGACTTGAGGTGAAGCGGGGTTTTGTTGGCAAAAAATCGATATTAGGCATAGATCATAATTATACCAATTGTTGTCCATGTGGTCAGAAAAACTCGTGGTAAACTTTAGGAAAAAAAATAACACCCAGCACGTGGCATTTATGACATCTAGCACTATTCAAAGTCTTTAAATGCAATAGCTTATTTTACGCTCACAATAATCCAATGAGGTAAGACTATTATTATTCCCATTTTAAAGAAGAGACCAAGACATAGAGAGGTTATGAAACTTGCCTAAGGTCACATATCTAGTGAGTAATTAAGCTGAAATATGAACTCAGCTCATCTGACTCTAGAGCCTGTGCTGTTTGGGCACATTGGGAAAAAGGGTAGGGTACTGGGCAGTTGTCCGATAATCTTTTGAGCCAATGAGAAGAGGCACAGTAGTCAATACAATCTACTTTTACTATCCACCTGTGAGAAACAATTTTTATTTTTGAATAAGAAAATATGTCTTAATGTGTTAGATTAGAAAACCCAAGAATAAACACAAGATAAAGATATGTGTAATGTTTTTATAGTACTTAAAACTTACAATATCCTTTTTTGTGTTTTATTTGTTTTGCAAGAATCATGTAAAATATACCTTATTCCTATTTTATCAAAGAGGAAATGGAAGATCAGAGAGCTTATGTGGTGTGTTTGAGATCAATAACCAGGAATTAGAAGAGCTGGGACTAGAATACATGTTATTTCAGCTTCCTGTGGGAAAAAGATATAGTTAAACTGGAGCCATCTATATCTTTCCCATAGTTACTAAGAAAACAAAGATAAAACTTGGTTGCCTCTTTCCTTAATTTAACCAGTCAGTTGGTTCTTTTCTATCATATCTGCTGACAATCTGATTTGAAAGCACCTCTCTGACTCTTATGGAGACTGTCAAATTATGTTAAAAGCAAAAAGTAGTCTACTCCCTTCTCCTGGCCTCACTCCTTGATAGGGGTGAGGATTGACAGAATTTGGCTAGAGTTCAGAAGTAAGGAAGTGAGGATGATAAAAAGGTCAAATACAGAGGCTATGATGTGATTCAGTTTCAGGGACAGTTCAGTAGACTCTCCTCCCTTGCATCTTCCTTCTTGTCCTTCCTCCTCGCCTCTCCATGTATGTAAATATGTGTCAGTGATAATGACGGTGATTATAGAACATTGGAGAAAGAGGTGGAAGAGAAAAGTAAGCAGAGAGTAAGAGCTAGGGGAATAAATGGGTGAAAGCAAGAAGGAAAAAATTCGGAAGAGAAAGGAATCCTGGAATATGAGAGCTAAAAGACACTGCAGGGAATACTTACACAAGCCTCCTTTTGGTGGATGGCTACTTCCTGGTGACTTAGCTCTGCTTATCCGCATCTCCTGAAATCAAAGTGCCTTTCCTTCCTCCTGTAGCTGTGATGGAAGAAGAAGGAGACAGAGACATAAAACCTAGGATTTGGAGTCAGAACTGTTTCTATGTCCTATTCTACCAGCTCTATGTCTTCACATTTCCATCACTGAATCTACATGACCCACAGTGACATAGACTGTAAAATGAGCATAACAATCCCTATTCCCCTCAAAGGTTTGCTATAAGGCTATGCAAATGTAATTATAATTACGTGTGGAACATTAGGTTTCCCAAGCCCACTTTGTCCTCACTGACCTCAGAGTGCACCTGCCATTGAAAGGTCTGTGTTACTTTTACAGAAAGTTAATTAGATCCTTCATCCTCCCTCTGGGTAGCTGCCTGAGTTAACAGTGCAGCTCAGCACACAAGCTCTATCATCCATATTAAAAGTGGGATTTTCTGACTTGGCCTGGGCAGCCAGTTGACCAATAGGTTCCAATGTGTGTTTTCAATAAAGCTGCTTACCCCAAAAGCCTTATTAAATGAGTAAGTCAAGCTGACATGATTTCCGTGCTGATTAACATGAAACCTAGGTTGTTTTTGCAATGCAGTAACATTAATTATTTATAGGAGGTAAATGAGGTTACAAGGAAAACAAGCTCAGATTACCAGAAACAAATCAAATCATATATTTATATTTTTAAAAGCTAAGTACTAATCCTTGCATTCATTGATTTGAGGCTCAAGCTTCAAAGATAAAAAAAATTTATTATGCTCTCTTTTTTTCTGATATATTGAGGTGATGCAGGGTTTAACATTTCAAAGACTAGCTGGTAAACCGAGGTGACCCAATGGAGCTTAACAGATACTTTTATTTGGTAAATTATATACCCAGAAATCACTCAACAAATCTCAAAACAATTCAGATTCTTTCAGGACTGAATGTAAAATGTTTACTAAGACATAGTCTCTTCTGGTTTCCAAATGTTTTCAAATTATAAATTTTTCAGAGAAAATTCTGATTAAACAGTATCTGTTAAATGAATTAAAGCAGTCCAGTTATTTCAGTGTTTGTCTGAAATATCCCTCACTGATGTTTGCAGTAATTATGTTCTGTTAAGTTTAGCATTTGTTCCAGATTTTTCATTTTTAATGAAGTATCATTATAATAGTTGCATTGAAATAATCTTAAATAGGTTTGGTAGACCTCTGGCTTGTAATTCTAGATGCTGCTATATTCTTTTCTGATGATGCAAAATGCATGTACAATGAAAAGTATTCTCACTTTAACATATGAGCAAATTTGAAAGATGATCAGTGGTAACCTTCCCCATTTTTCTTGAATCTTTCTGACACCATGTCACTAACACCTCTAATACCACTGTCACTAGGTAGACAGGTCACAAAATGCTTGCTGAAAAACAAAATGCTCTTCTGGTGATGGTGAGAGAACTATTTCATGGCCATGTGGTGTACCAGCCAATTGTGGCATAGCTCTTGCCTAAGAGATGCTTGAAGTCAACAGTTGGCAGAGTCAGTGGGAAATATGAAATGTTATAGGTTAGATTCATGTGCTGTGTCTCTAAATAGAGGCTGGGCAGTTCTTTGTAGAATGCATACAAAGTAGTCTGAATAATCTCACCACAGTTTCATTTATTTTATGGTGTAAATATGCAAGTTTACTTATTTTATTGCTTGATATACTTTTAAGTTTTTGCAATAATTATAATTATTATGTACATTTTATATTATCATAATTACTTTAGCAACCTTTTTCACTTACAAAAGTGTCTCTATTTGAACAATAATTTATATACCCACTGTATCTATTTCCCTGTGTGATCTGAATTCTGGGAAAAAAGAAAATATATTTTCAGTGGCTTACCAGTTATTTTTGCATAGAATACCCATGAGTAAAAACCTAAGAATAAAAACAGTTAGGCTTTTACACTATAAATAATGAAGTTAATATTCTTTTTTTATAGTTTATTTTCTTATAATGTGCCATAACAAAATAAGTGTCCTAGGAATTTATTTGAGTCTTATATCAATTATTTAGAATGGAGGACTTGGACTAGATAATTGTAAGTTGAATCCCAAAACAAATACTGTAGTTTATATCCAAGGTATAAAAAAAGTTTAGTTTAAAATCAAATAAAATATTCAGAGGTGCTAAACACTACTATTTCCTTTTCCAGAACCTAGAAATGGCAAAAACTTATGTGAAACCCAAGGAGATGTCAGAGTTGGTCAACACACCGTCCTGGATAGACAAAAGTCTGGGTTCTCAGAATGAGATGGAGGAGGAGAGAAAACCAGGTGCTTATGGGATGCTTGGCAGCTTAGCTGAAGAACATGACAGTATTGAGGAAGAGGAAGAGGAGGACGAGGATGGGGAGAAACCTAAGAGAAGAGGTCCCAAGAAAAAGAAGATGACAAAAGCTCGCCTGGAGAGGTTCAGGGCTCGAAGAGTCAAGGCCAATGCTAGAGAACGGACCCGGATGCATGGCCTGAATGATGCCCTGGACAACCTGAGGAGAGTCATGCCATGTTACTCTAAAACCCAAAAGCTCTCCAAGATAGAGACTCTTAGACTGGCCAGGAACTATATTTGGGCTTTGTCTGAGGTCTTGGAAACCGGCCAGACACCTGAAGGAAAGGGCTTTGTGGAGATGCTCTGTAAAGGGCTCTCTCAGCCCACAAGCAATCTGGTGGCTGGATGCCTCCAACTGGGCCCGCAGTCTGTCCTCCTGGAGAAACATGAGGAGAAGTCTGCCATTTGTGACTCTGCCATCTCTGTCCACAACTTCAACTATCAGTCTCCTGGGCTCCCCAGCCCTCCTTATGGCCATATGGAAACGCATCTTATTAATCTCAAACCCCCAATGTTCAAGAGTTTGGGAGAATCATCCTTTGGGAGTCATCCACCTGACTGCACTACACCACCTTATGAGGGCCCACTTACTCCACCCCTGAGCATCAGTGGGAACTTCTCCTTGAAGCAAGATGGCTCTCCTGACCTGGATAAATCCTACAGCTTCATGCCACATTACACCTCTGCAAGTCTAAGCTCAGGGCATGTGCATTCAACTCCCTTTCAGGCTGGTACCCCTCACTATGATGTTCCTATAGATATGTCCTATGATTCCTACCCCCACCATGGCATTGGGACTCAACTCAATACAATCTTCACTGATTAAAGCAGTAAGATCAGCATTTCAGAGGATGTTATGGAGTTGTTTTTCATAATTCAAGTGGTTGAGCTGCAAATTCAATGACCTTCAAGGAACCCTATAGCTATATATCAATACAATAGTCCCAGTCCATTTAGGCCCTCCTACACCTGCCATTCTCTTTTCTCATCAACTTCTCAAATTGTATTGATTTCTGTATTTAGGGTCCTCATGTGAAGTTATTTGATTGTTTACAATCATGTGGAGATAGAAGAGAAGTCTTAGGTCTTATTCTGGTGTTGCCAATAACTTACTGAATGATCTATGCCAATTAATTTTCCATTTCTGGCCTCTGTTTACTTACTGATAAAATCAAGCAATTGCTCTATGTCTAAATGATTTCTAAAGTCCTTCACAGTTCTAAAATTCTGTAACTTTGGTGACTGCTCTATAAACTTCTTCAAACTGTTAGGATGGAGGAATGGTAGAAGATGGACACTGTGTGTCGAGGATCAAATGGACTTGCCAGTGGAGCACCAGGTGCATGACTCTTGGAGACTAAATGTTTGGATGTTTTTTGAATCTATCTAAAAATAGCCTCCAGAGGCTGAAATTCTAAGTTGGCTGTCACTGTGAATAACAAAACATGTTCTTTAAGAAATTAACTATTTCTTGTTGGGCTAAAAGCTGAACATAACTTCCTTAGTAATTTGAGAACCGTAATAGATATCTCATATGAACTTGATTCTTGATAAATTTCAAAAGCACTTTTATTAGGACTAGAGATGGGGTAATCAAGTCACTGAAACCTCAGACTCCTGTGACCAATGGAACTTAGAGAAGTTGTCTAGATCATTCCATGGCCTTCATAACCAGAGGACTCTGGAAATTCTGATGAAACTCAGGTGCTGTTATTGGAATCAGCAAACAGCCTAGGTCACATTCAAGAGCAATACAATAAAATGGCTATTGGCTATATTAACTATGGCTGTATGATAGTTTGGGGACTCCCTCTAGCTAATACCTGCCCATAGGTAAATCACTAGATTATCTTTGGCAAGATGAATTTTTTCTTTCTGATTAAAAAAAAACATGTTTAAAATCACTGACCTCTGTCCACACCAATATCATATTTTCTAGAAGCACAAGCACCAATCAATTTATTGACCAACCTTAATATTTCCAACATATATACAATTCCGTGTCTCCTCCATTAATTGTTATTCTTTCTAACTTGTAAAATATACTTTATTTTTACATATTGTAGATAACATTTTGAGGAACCAGACAGCAATGCAGATATCAAATCCAGGGTCAGTGAATGCTTTTACCAATCTATGTCTTCATCACAAGTTTATCCTGGTTCACAGGATGTTTGTTTTTCATCTTGTAACTCCTCCTTCCTTAACAGCAGCACCAGTTTTGTCAAATGTATCTTTTTCCAGAGAAATGTAATCTGAGAAATGTTACTGTCCTGGTCAATGTGCCAGAACAATTATTTAAAACAAACTAAAAGCCTAAATGGTTTATGTGATAGTGGATCACATCCTATTCCTGCCAGAGAGGATAAGTTTAGGATGCAAGGTACACAAATAAGGCCAATGAATAAAAGTGATAAGGCAGATTAGTATGTCATTTTCTACAGCTCAGCTACCCGCTAAAACCTGCCAAACTATCTGTGCATCTTGCCTTTTTTACCCTCTTATTTATTACTTCCTTGCAGTCCAAGATATTTTCTTTCCATTTTGCTTGCAGCACCAACCCTGCTGGATTTTTTACTCTTGGTTGGTAAATCCACTGGAAAGTATCCAGAGCCATCCCACGTGATTTGAGTGTGCGCAGGCACTTCCCTTTGTGAGAGGCAGTTGGAGGGATCTATCCTTGAAGCTAGCATTTTTCTGGCATTTAAGTTTGTAGATAATGAATGTTGTCTGAGTTATTTATTAGATATTATTTATTTAATTTATTTCACCCTTCCTTTTATGCAAATTCCTTAGGTAACATATATGTGCTTGTAAAACCTCCCTAAAGCTTCATTTGGGAAGTAGCTCCTAATTTTGCTGGGAATTTCAAGTTTAGGATGAGAAAAAAGGAAGAAGTTAGTGCAGAATTACTTACAGCAACTTCATAAAAATCAGCAATAATTTGAATGGCTATGCAAGTTAATATTTTTAGATTTTTTTCCTTCACTCTAAAACAAGCCAGTTATTTTTTGAGGAATTGTCTGTTTATGCTTTGGGGGAGTATGGTTCCCATGAAGCAAGAATCCCTGGGATTGTTCAGAAGGACTTTATAACTGAATGAACATTTGGGAATGTAGGGTGGTTGGAAAGAGCCTACTCTCCAACCCAGGGTGATCTCATTCTTTTAGGGACTTTATTAGATAAAGCAAAGCAATTGTTTAAACTTTTTGTAAAAAAAAAAAAAAGCCTGTTTTCCCTTCCTTTTTTTCCTAGAAGAAATAAAGCTGTCAGTCTTATTAGACATCATGTTGTGTTGTTGTTCATTAAAGTTTTTCTTCACTGTCATCTATTAATTTTCTAGGACTCTAAATCCTGCGAGCAGCCAGCAGAGCACAGAGGGCCTGTCAAGGGAATGTACGCCTCCCACATTTCATCTGATCTTTCCAGAGGACTTGAAAGCTCTAAGCTAAGCAGCTAGAAGCCTAGAAGAACAGGCCATTGAAACAATCAACTATAAAATCTGTAGTTGAGGGAAACACATGTTCTCGTTTACAAAAATCTAGGGCTATGAGCAACTTAAGCCATCAAACCTCAGAGAGGTGGGCAACAGAAAGACAGGATATTATCCAAGAGTTGGGTGAGCCAACTAACTTAAAAAAAATAACACCTCTTCTTTTGATATTTTTCTTTCAGTTTTCTTCAGTTAAAACTTTTCAGGGATCCTTCTTACATAAAATGCTGATGATTAAGAAATAATAATGATGATGATAAAAATAAAGTTTAATAAAAAGAGTTGGCTAGTCAAGGGAGAGATTTGGCTTACAATATTAAGAAACAAAAAATACAGAATGAATCATTCTCTCATTCCTATCCTCCATCTGCCCAGAACCCACTTTCCAACTAGAAGCCACTTTTTAATTGTTAGTTTATTAGTTGCAAGAGATCTTTTATGCATATGCAAGAAAAATTAGGTATACCAGGCACAAATATTAAATATAAATATTAAGTTACATTATCCTCACCTTTTTCCTTCTGTCAATGGTAACATAATATAACACAGTTCTGCATATTATTGTTTATTTCAACTGATATTTTGGAGGTATTTTCATGTCATATAAAGTTTCAAAATTACTTGTTACAGCTGGTTAGCATTCCACATTAAAATACCAAAATATATAAAATTAAATTGTATAATTTAGACTTTCCCAGTCACTCATAATACTGAATGAATAATCATATGCACATGTCATTTGACACTTATTAAGTATCTTTGCAAAGAATATTCCAGGGGGATAAAGATAAACACAGATAAGAACAATCACATCTAGCAGTTGTTGGATGCTATGTATTATCACTCTAAGTGATTTACATGTATTAATTCATTCAATCCTAAAACTGCCCTTAAAAGGAGACACTATTATTATTCTCACTTTATAAATTAAGAAGCTAATGTGTAGAGTAATCTATTAAAGCTCACATTCCTAGTAAATGGCAGAGGCAGGATTTGAACTAGTTGGTTTATACAAAATGTTTGAAATGATTATCAGTGGTTGTTTGCCTGGTAGGTACATAAAGATGTCATATTTCAAAAGGCCAGAGTTTGTGGAAGTGGAGGTACTTTTTGATGTCCCTCAAATTTTTCTTTACATACGGAACCCTGTTGCCTCCATGACCCAGGCTGGCCCATACCCAAGCTCTGGAATAGAAGCTCAACTTTCTATTATGTGTTGCCTATGTAGACTATGAAGAAAAAGACCAGGTCAGTCCTGGCTGGTTTGGCTCAGTGGACTGAGCACCAGCCTGTGAACCAAAAGGTCTCCGGTTCAATTCCCAGTCAGGGCACATGCCTAGGCTGCAGGCCAAGCCCCTACTTGGGGATATGTGATAAGCAGCCAATTGACATGATCTCTCATACATTGATGTTTCTTTCCCTCTCTTTCTCCCTTCCCCCTTTCTAAAAATAAATTAAAACTTAAAAAAAAAAAAAAAAAGAAAAAGACCAGGTCACAGATGCATGCTTTGTTGCTTCAAAGTGCCCATCTCTCAGAAGGCCTAAATCTATTTTACTTCTGTCATCTCACATATCTTTAGAGTTTTTGAAAAAACAGTTTTAGCAGGGAATTATGAAGATAAATTGTTTATTAATATAGGAAGATCCTATCTTTGAGGTTATTTTTCCTAAATATATATCACTTTGCATTATAGTTTGGGGCTTTAATTACAAGCATTGACTTTAGGGTATAAAGTAAATGATATATTAGTTATGTAACTTTATGATTGAGTAACTTTTGCTAAATTGACTAACCCTGCAGAGGCTCAGTTGCCTGCAATTTAAAATAGCAATAATAGCAATGATTTCCTAATAGGATTGTTATGATTAATTAATAAAGGTAATACATTTAAGGTCCATCGAAAGTACTAAATAAGCAGTAATTATTATAATCATGTTACTATTTATTATTCTTTGATTACGTTCACGTTAACGTTTTCTTTGCTCCGATAACTGTCTGGGGGCGAGTGGACGGTGGCTGCAGCAGGTCCACGGAGCCCGTGGAGTGTTTCCTTAGGAGGTGAATCAGGCAGACTTGGGTTTGATGCTAACGGGCTGAGTAGTCCTAGACACATCTTTATGTTTCAGTTTTCTTCTGTATAAAAAGGGCATAAAAATACCACCAAATCCATGAAGTTGATATGAGAATTAAAAGGGATGATAATGTCAGTGAAGAGTTTACTCAGGTTTTGACACATGGGCAATTTACCATTATTATTGTTATTGTTATGATTAGGAGTAGATCGGAAAAGATGATGAAATAGAGGACAAGAGAGCAGAGCAGATGCTTAAAT